CCCTGACAGTTAAGTCCAGTCACAAACAACTCTGGGGTTGTGCCGCTCATCTAGCTTTACTGGCCAAGGGAGCTGACGTTTGTCCACAGCCAGGTTTTCTGGGTTATGTGGCTAGCATGACTAAGCCGCTTCTGGCGAAACCAGAGCAGTGCACAGAAACACCGTTTATCTTCCCACCGGAGCGGTACCTAGTTATCTACTTGCACTTTGACATGCTTTCAAACTGCTAGGTTAGTAGGAGCATTCTGTGGAAGGTGAACCGCAGTGGAATCGAAACATTGATGCACTTACAAATTTAGTTGGTCTCTAAGGTGCTACCGGACTATTTTTAAATAGTCAGACCAACATGGCTACCTACCTGAATCTGGGGCAAATCTATTAAACACACGCAACAATAAGAAACGTTGAAGCTGTGTTTAAAGATAAAATTGGGTTGATTGCAATCAACCATCTAAGGACAAGGATGGAGGCCGGAAATCAGAGGAGAGTAAACAACACAAGTCCATGTCCCATGATCAGCTTCCCTTCAAATTAAGAAAATTCCATTAAATATAATGAGACTTGGAAGCAAGCAATTGACGGATGAGTGGGTATAGCCAGCTGGAATTCATAGGGACGTGTCTTTCCCCCGGGCACTTCGTTTCCGGAGTTCACATTCCTAGGAACCATATAAAAGGGATCCGATCCCAAAGTTGCCCATTCTACTTTGCTCCTCAGCTGACCTCGACAACCAGAAAGTTGGTAAGTCTCCCGATTCTGCTAGAACTTATCTTGGTGGATATCTGCCTTGGGGACGCTGCTCCAAGGCTTTGACATTGACCATGGGAGGATACGGATGGAGCAGATTTTGGGGTCATTTTGGGTTGAGCTGATGCTGGCAATGGAGAACATCCATGGATGTGTGGGATTTTGGGGAGGATAATATATCGCAGTCAGCCGGCTTGTGAGCCTGACTGTGAAGGAGCTAAGCCATCTTGGCTTCCCAAATCCTCATTTGACTTAATAACGAAGAGATGGTGAGGTAAAAGCCCATAGCTTCTGGCAGAAAAATCAGGTGTGGAGTGTGATTGGGAAAAGAAGATCTGGATTCCCTGGAGGTTGAATCCTTGGGGAAGGGCCATAAGCTCAGTGGCTGAGCACCTGCTTTGCATGGTGATTCAATCCTCAGCCTCTCCGGGTCTCCTCTTGTCTGCAGCCTGGGAGAGCCACTTCTGGGCAGTGTAGACAATACTGAGATAGATGGACCAATGGGTCTGGCTCAGTACAAGGCCCTATGAGGCTATTTATTCAGCACCATGAGGGATGGAATATTGCAATCATTTTTAAGGGAAAGCCATAGCTCAGAAACAGAGAACTACTTTGCTCAGAAACAGAGAACTACTGGGTTGAATCTCCCAGGTAAAGGCTCTCACCTGAGTCCCAGGAGAGCCACAGTCAGTCAGTGCAGATGTGGAAAGTGATCCAGAAATGAGATAGAATAAGTGAATAGCGGTCAATCTTGTCCTTTAAGTAGGAACACATTCGGCAACTGTATTTCAGAAATAATTTCGGAAACAAGGGCTTACAGAATCTTATCTGATCTACACAGAGATTATATTGTGGCTGCTTATTTGGAATGGGCTGCCTGTTTTAGACTCGGTTTTAGACCAGACCAGAAGAATAGAGGGATAATAAAGAGCTCAGTGGGTGTGGGGAGGAGAACATAAGAAGGCAAGGTGAAAATCTTCAGGGATACATTAACTTCCCTGGCACTTAAAAGACTAAGCCCCAAAGCAGAGCAATTGTGGGCAATGAGAGCAGCCGCCTAGATCAAAGGAAGAGTTTAAAGTGGTTGGAAAGAGTTGACACCTCTTGTAGTTGCTGGTGCCTCTGGGCCAATTTCATCAAAAGCCAGTGGAGTGAGAAGAAAGCCTTCCTCATATCTAACCTGAAAATCAGCTGCCACTCTCCCATTCCAGACAGCGGTTATTTAGCCTAGGGATGGTCAGATCAGGGTATTAATCCCAGCTCATGTCAATTTTGAAGGAGTTGATTCAGAGATCTTGCCCTTCCCAGTTTGCATTTGATCCATGCATTTAATACATGCTTCCCCCAAAGAATGCTGGGAGCATTTAATACATCAGAGGCAGGGCTTCCCCCCAAAAGAATGTGGGGAGCCATCAAGGGCGCTGAGATTTATTAGGAAATCCCCCTTTTCACCTCACAGAGCAGCAATTCCACGACTGGTTCAACAACCAATCCTTCTTCCCTGGGAACTCCGAGAATTGTAGTTCTGCAAGAGGAATAAGGACCTCCTAACAACTCAGACGGGATGCGGGTGGCGCTGGGGGTTAAACCACAGAGCCCAGGACTTGCCAATCAGAAGGTTGGCGGTTCGAATCCCTGCGACGGGGTGAGCTCCCGTTGCTCGGTCCCTGCTCCTGCCAACCTAGCAGTTCGAAAGCACGTCAAAGTGCAAGTAGATAGATAGGTACCGCTCCGGCGGGAAGGTAAACGGCGTTTCTGTGCGCTGCTCTGGTTCGCCAGAAGTGGCTTAGTCCTGGTGGCCACATGACCCGGAAGTTGTAAACCAGCTCCCTTGGCCAATAAAGCGAGATGAGTGCTGCAACCCCAGAGTTGGCTGCGACTGGACCTAATGGTCAGGGGTCCCTTTACCTTTTTTAACAACTCAGAACCCTTAATAAACTACTTTTCCTGGGATTCTGTGGGGAAAGCCATGACTGTTATTGTAGTAGAAGAGTGCTTTAATGTCTGGTGTAGATATGGCTCCATTGTGCATCTGTGTTTTTTAAAAATAATCTGCACAGAAATCTGTACATTAGTATGTATTTTATTACAAAATTCATCTTGAAGACCTATTATATCTCAGTGATTGCACTGAGAAATATTTGACACCTTAAACATCTGTATATTTTGAGATCTATTTGACACCTGATAAATAGATGGTACAGATATAGATACAGATGTTAGGACCTACTCTGTTCTCCTGCTGGTAAATAGTTCAAACTGAATATACTGTTGCATTTTGATGTTGGTGTAAGCTGCCCTGGGACTTTAGGGTGAAAGGCAGAAAAGAGATCCGTATCTCCACCAAAGGAGAAACAGGTTAACCATTTACAAAATTGAGATCTATGCAAAACAGGAATGACAAGTCTTCAGCTGCCAATCTGGACACTGCCCAGCCCCCAAGCAATTGCTATTGGCTCCCCAGATGATTTTGGCAACACTGCAACACTGCGGAGATTCTACCCAGGGCTGTGATGGTGTACACAGTTGCTTGGACAAGCTCTTTGGACTTCACTAACCTTTTGCCCCCACTCTTTCTGGGCACAGAGCCATGCTTTAAAGCTTCGTGTCCAAGCCTCTTTCCTGCCCCCCACCCCCAGAGATTTCCCTGCTCAATCAACAAACAGCAAATTCAGCTTTCCCATCAATTGCCATTTGCTCTGATTGTACTTTAAAGAGTGGTTTTTCACAGGGAGAGCAATAAAATTGGCACTCAGATAGGAAGCTTTGGCATGTGGACCATGCCTACAAAGCATGAGGGAAAAGCAAATGTGGTTAAGCCCTATCTGTAGGGTGGGTATGGTGAGGAGGCAGCTCTCATCTGACCTCTGACTGGTTGCATTGCTGCAGTTTACCAGAAAGTAGAGGGGGAGAGGCCTTGGGGTAGGGAGTAGGGCTCGGCGATATCTGGCTTTCAACATGGTGATATATCACCAGCTAAACATTGTGATACACCAATACATTTCTGGAATAAGGATGGAACTATGTAAAGGGACGCGGGTGGCGCTGTGGGTTAAACCACAGAGCCTAGGACTTGCCGATCAGAAGGTCGGCGGTTCGAATCCCCGCAACGGGCTGAGCTCTCGTTGCTCAGTCCCTGCTCCTGCCAACCTAGCAGTTCGAAAGCACGAAGGTAAACGGCATTTCCGTGCATTGCTGTGGTTCGCCAGAAGCTGCTTAGTCATGCTGGCCACATGACCCGGAAGCTGTACACTGGCTCCCTCGGCCAATAAAGCGAGATGAGCACCGCAACCCCAGAGTCGGTCATGACTGGACCTAATGGTCAGGGGTCCCTTTACCTTTATGTAAAGGCATCGTCTGGCTTCATGGTTTTTCCTGCATAGTGACTTTTGCACAGCACACTCATTAGGGCTAGGCAATATTGATACATCATCAAAAATTGGTTTGAAGCCCACATCGTGGTAATGGTTTCATTACATTCAACATGGAGATATATCGCAAATCACGATGTGTGCCTGTGCTATGTAAAAAAAAAAGGTCATTGCTTCTCTTATTATTCCTGTAACCCCTGCTGCTCTGTACTATAAAATAGCAGTTCTAACAATATGTTGCAGTTTTAGACCCCTAAGTAGTAGCAGTTTTCCAGGACATGACCTCGTTCACCTCTGCATAGTTGCATCCTTATTTCAGGCATCGTGATATATTGGCGATATATCATGACGTTGAAAGCCAGACTTCGCTCAGCCCTAAACACATCACAATTCATAATATATCACCGGGTCCACAATTAGGAAACAGATATCAAGAGATGGACTTCAAACTGGCTTTGGGTGATATATCGCCCAGTCCTAGCAGGGATGTTGGTGCAGTGCTAACACGCCGTCAGGAGCTTCAGACTGGCTTCGCTGGTGTGTTTGCACCGCGCCGCCCTCACTTCTGCCTAGCTGCTCCTCTTCTACCTCCTGATAAGGAGCAGCAATGCAGCCAACCACAGCTCAGATAAGAGCCTCTTCCCCATTGGCTACAGAGCTCTGTGTGTGCAGGAGCTCTGATGTGGAAGTGTGAGTGTGGGGTTTGTGAGAGACTGTGTGGAGGACACGCCCAGTTTGGAGCCACACCCGCCCCAGGCCTTCAGACCCCAGGGGTGTTGCAGTGGGGCGATGGGGACTTCCAGTGGGGGAAAGGTTTGCTTTCCTGGCTGTAAGGACTTCTCTCTCTTCTTCTGTCCAGCTTCCAGCTCTCAACCCATCAGGATGACTCACCAGTGCAAGCTGCCTGCCACGGCCCCACCCAGCTGTGTGAAGGGAGTTGCGGTCTGCGCTGCCCCTCAGGCCACCAAAGGGGTCGCGGTGTGTGGGGCAGCCCCGTCGCCTTGCTCTGCCTGTGCTGCTACACCTGTCACAGTGTGTGGGATACCACAACAGACCGCCTGTGGGGCCAAGACCATTTCCGTGTGTGGGATACCGCAGCAGACCTCCTGTGGGGCCAAGACCATTTCCGTGTGTGGGATACCGCAGCAGACCTCCTGTGGGGCCAAGACCATTTCTGTGTGTGGGGTACCACAGCAGACTGCCTGTGGGGCACCAACACTGACTGTGTGCGGCCTGCCACAGCAGACCACCTGCGGTGCGTCAACACTCACAGTGTGCGGCCTGCCACAGCAGACCACCTGTTGCGGTGCGCCGGCGCTGACTGTGTGCGGCCTGCCACAGCAGACCACCTGCGGGGCACAGGCCACGTTGGTCCCAAGCTGTGTCTCATCTCCCTTGGTGATCTCCTCAGGATGTGGATGTGGCGGGGTTCCCTTGAGCAGCTGTGTACCGGTGACACTGAATCTGGTGCAGCCCACTTGCGTCGCTGCCGCGCCCTGTACCAGTACCAGCTGCTGTGCCGCCCCTGGATGTGTGTAGAACCCGGGCACATGGCAGCGATGGGATTGATGGATGAGGAATTGACGAACGGATCGAAGAGTAGCATGGGGCGAGCTGTTGCCTGCCTTTGCTATGTTTAACAATGACTCGGGCTCTCTGAAAAATCCCCATATCGTTTCATTCCTAACCTTGTTCCTCCTTTCTCTCTTGGTATCGTTTTCTCCTATCCTTTAAAGGCAGGGGTGGGTGCACTTTTGCCCTCGGCCTCATTCCATGTTGGCATGGGGAGCCTAGAGGGAGAGATGGAAGAAGGGGGGGTCAGGGAGGGAGGGAGGGAAGAAGGGGGGGGTTTCCCCAGCCACTCTGGGCAACTTCCAACAAAACACTAAAATACAATAACCCATTAAACATTAAAAGATTCCCTAAAGAGGGCTGCTTTCAGATGTCTTCTAAAAGTTTGGTAGTTATTTTTCTCTTTGACATCTGGTGGGAGGGCGTTCCACAGGGCGGGTGCCACCATCGAGAAGGCCCTCTGCCTGGTTCCCTGTAACTTGGCTTCTCGCAGCGAGGGAACCGCCAGAAGACCCTCGGCACTGGATCTCAGTGTCCGGGTAGAAGGATGGAAGTGGAGACGCTCCTTCAAATATACTGGATCGAGGCCGCTTATGTGTGGTAAAGGTAAAGGTAAAGATAAAGGGACCCCTGACCATTAGGTCCAGTTGTGGACAACTCTGGGGTTGCGGCACTCATCTCGCTTTACTTGCCGGCGTACAGCTTCTGGGTCATGTGGCCAGCATGACTAAGTCGCTTCTGGCGAACCAGAGCAGCGCACGGAAACGCCATTTACCTTCCCGCCGGAGCGGTACCTATTTCTCTACTTGCACTTTGACGTGCTTTTGAACTGCTAGGTGGGCAGGAGCAGGGACCGAGCAACGGGAGCTCACCCCGTCGCGGGGATTCGAACCGCCAACCTTCTGATCGGCAAGCCCTAGGCTCTGTGGTTTAACCCACAGCGCCACCCGTGTCCTCAAAATGTGTGAGAGGGGTGTAAAAAAAGAGGGGAAGGGGGTGTAAAAATAGAGAGAGGGAAAAGAGAAATGGGTTATCAAAATGAAAGAGAATGGGGTTTCAAGGAGCAAGGGAATGTCATAAAATGAGAGAATGGATGTCAAAAGAGGGGGACGGACAGAAAAGACTGCCGGCTCACCAATTCTGATCCTGAGCACCCAAGATTTAGCTCCACCTATCACTAGCACCTGCCTCAAGCAGATTACCTCTGTAGGAATGTGGTCCTCAAAAAACAAACGAAAAGGTTCCCACCCCTGCTTTAAGGAATAAGGAAACGGCCAGCTATGACCTTTCGGGGTACGCCAGGCCTGCATAAACCCCTTGGTGTTGGATTATTCCCCTTTCCCCCATCTAGACAATCTTTTCTCTTCCTCCTTGCTTAAAAAATACAACCAGCAAATAAACGCTACGGTTTTGTGGCACCAAAAAAAAAAAAGGCCTACCATTGTTGTGTTTATCCATCTCCTTGCTGTATATCTTCCTGTATGTTCGATCAGAGAATCTCAGAGATGGATGAAATGGAGACAGAAATTCACGAAGAATTCACTAGGAATGAATTAGGTCTTTTACGACCCCACATTAAAGGTCAGGGAAGCATCCTGGCAACATTAGCGTCATTTAAAAATGAAAAGAGCAAGTTTCTACCTCCAGGGTGCACAGAAGGGGTTTGGAGGGCATGGAAGCGTTTCAGAAATCAGATGTGTTTGTGAATTTGTGTGTGTGTGTCCTTCCATATCACATGTCAAAATTCCAGGTCACCTAAAGAGGAGGACTTATATCTTCCTCACTCAGGAAGCATCTCCTCCTATTTCCAGGGATTTAAAAGGAAATCAAAACCACATTGTGAAAGTAAAATGGAAAGCAGGGACCAAAGAAATCACATACCCTTCAACTGTCCCAGAAAAATGGGACATCCTTTCCCCCCCCGTGAGAGCATGCCGGCCGTTTTAGCAGCTGCAATATCACCCCCCAAAAAGAACTTTTTCTCCCCCCCTTTTTTTTTGAATTTGCATTTTATTTATTTGTTAACATTCTTATATTACATCGGTAAACATTGTCATATTACATTACAGGACTTACTATAATATAATTTCCAACATGTATACAAAAATTATATACAAATTTTATATACCTAGAAAGAAAATGAAACAAAAATAAAAAGAAAGAACAAAGAGAAAAAACAAAAATAATTTCCCCCCAAAGTCATATACATACCAACACACTAGACTTCCTGTGTTTCCCGTTGTATATTCCTTTTTTACAAATGAATGTACTCTTATTATTGTATATTTCTTTACATATTATCTAATACATTCCTATATCAATATGTGCTCTTAGTCTTATTTCTCAACTCAATCTCACTCCAACGTCAATCAAATGCTAGCATAGACAGCAAACCTTTACTGTATTTTTGAACATATGTTTTATATCTATCCCACTTTTCCATAAATTTTTGTTTTGAATTGCCTCTCAGGGTATTTGTTAACAAATACCCAAAAAAGAACTTTTTCAGGGATGCAATCTCACACAGTGCCCCCAAACATGCCGTTTGGGGGCACCTTTCCCCAAAAAGTGCTTTATCAGGGCTGCAATCACACACAAATCATATGACTCACCCCGGGTTGTGGCCCTGGAAAATGGCGCCCTGTTTTTTTGTCATGACATGTTGTAGGGTATGAAATCATTCTCCCAGAATGGTGGTTTCCATACTTGAACTGGCTTTTGGTGGGATCCTTAGGAATTATGCTATCAACTACCACGACATCTGTCACAGATGTTGACATTTCAAGGACCTCGCTGAACAAAGGGTTGGACTAGATCAATCCTTCAGCTTTTGAGTGACCAGGTCTCATTGGGTCAGAACTCCCATCATCTCCCAGTCGCCTTAGACAATGGTCAAGGAAGACAGGAGTTGTGGTCCAACAACATCTGGGGAACCAAAGTTTCTTTATTTATAAAAAAATATGTATACACGAGTGGTTGTTGTTTTTTAAAAAAGAAAAGCATCGGAGCCGTTTACAACAATTAAATGTAGAGCCCTACAATAAAAACCATACAAAATTGTTCAGAATCAGAAATCAGCTCTCAGCTATGGAAATGTATGTTTTCTTAATTGCCTGCATAGACCTGGCAGAATAGAAAAGCTTTTTTCCCCCACGGTAAATCTTTATTGGTTTAAAATACAAACGTACAACGAAGGTAAGTATAGAAAAGTTAAACACTAAAAAAGAGAAAACGTCAAGACATAAAAATAAGGGGGAAAATTTAAAAGACAAAAAAGAAAAGAAGAAAAAGAAAAAGGACCAAAAATTTATACAAAATCATATCTATCAAATAAAAATTTCTGCATAAAACTTCCAATCGTTCTCATTATACTGTTTCTGTTATCATGGTTTTGTCGCACAGCTTTACTTAATACCCTTTTTCATACATTCCACTAAAGTATTCGTTTCATTCATTTTTGTTAAATATTTTCCATTCCCCATATGTTTTGTGATTTAAGGCCACCCTGACTTTTCCCGTCAACTTTGCTAGTTGGAAATATTCTATCATAAGTGTCTGCCATTTTGTTATCTTTGGTGTTGTTTCGCTTTTCCAGTTTCTCGCCACAAGTATTCTTGCTGCCATGAATAGAAAAGCTTTTAGCAAGTGTCTTAAAACAAAGAAAGTTCAATCGCTGTTGGCAGAGTATTCGACAGCACTGGAGCCATAACTCCAATGGCTTAGTTTCTCACAGTTGCCAAATGAGCTGCGCCAGCAACACTCCTGCTAATGATCTCAGTGACTGAGTAGTCCCTGGAGTATCCTGCACTTAAGTTGTTCAGGATAATAATAATAATAATGAGAATAATAAAAATAAGAATAATATACCCCACCCATCTAGTTAGGGCGGCACCAACAACTCTGGGCAGTTTCCAACACATAAAAACATAACATCAAACACCAAAAGCTTCCTTATAGGGCTGCCTCCAGATGTCTTCTAAAAGTCAGATAGTTGTTTATTTCCTTAACATCTGATGGGAGGGCGTTCCACAGAGCAGGTGCCACCACCGAGAATGCCCTCTGCCTGGTTTCCTGTAACTTCACTTCTCACAGGGAGGGAACCACCAGAGGATCCTTGGAGCTGGACCTCAGTGTCCAGGCAGAACGATGGGGATGGAGACGCTCCTTCCGGTATAGTGGGCCAAGGCCATTTAGGTCTTTAAAGAAGAAGAAGAAAATAAGAGTTTGGATTTGATATCCTGCTTTATCACTACCCGAAGGAGTCTCAAAGCGGCTAACATTCTCCTTGCTCTTCCTCCCCCACAACAAACACTCTGTGAGGTGAGTGAGGCTGAGAGACTTCAAAGAAGTGTGACTAGCTCATGTGGAGGAGCGGGGAAGCGAACCCGGTTCACCAGATTACGAGTCCACCACTCTTAACCACTACACCACACTGGCTCCCAGTTTAAAGGTCAGCACCAACACTTTGAACTGTGCACGGAAACATAAATCAAAACAAGGACCTTGAATCTGTCTCAGCAGTAGGTGGGCAGCCAGCACAGCTGCTTTAACAAGTGTCACATGTTCTCAGTCATATGCCCCCAGTTTGAAAATTCGGAGTGCTCCTGCCAGTAGACAACCCTACGCTATATGGACCTGCTATAAGAAAGGCTCTGCAGGCAGTGGAGGGTCCTCAATAATATAGCTACCACCAGAGAGAACTCTCCCCGAAGTCCATCCCTTACAACGATGCCGGACACACTGGAATGCCGTGTCCACAAAGGAATGACAACGGGATTATGATCATGAGTAATCTCTGTTGCCTAACGACACCTTACACAAATAGCAGAATTAACTAGATGAGCTTGTGGTTGTTCTGAGTATTATTGGCGTGATCTCCTGGGCCAGGAAACGATTAGGAAAGAGGCTCAGTGGTGGAATTTCACCCCTTGATCTCTTTCCTACTCTACTTGTTCTGACAGCTCCCA